AATAGTTCATCATCGATTTTATTTTTTCCAACAGTTTATCAATATATATTAGTTTTATTACGCTAAAAAAAATTTTAATTACTTTAATTCTTTAACCATTTCTTAGCTCATGAATTTAAGAAATGGCAATTATGAATATTACAAACGTTTCACCCCCTTGTTCCTAAAATAATAATTTTTCAGCGAAAAGCTCTTGAGGCTTTCAGCCTTTGCAACTCAGTCTAATATATTAATGCAAATATATAAATTTGTAGATTTTTCATGGCCAGTTTTCTCGTATTTAATATTTAACTATTTAAATTCATAGCGTTTTACTTAATAATAAATTTTTTTATGACCGTAATTAAACTCTCTCATATTTACCCAAGCTATTAAACATTTTCTCTCTGTTTTTATCTTCCTTTCTAGCTTTATTATCCTCCTATTGTATTTTTTTTTTGGTTTAATCAACTATTTATAATAATAACAAAGCAAAAGTACTAATCTTCAACCGGCTTGAAAAATTTATCAGATATTTATTAAAATTCTTCCCTCTAACTCTGCTCAGAATTATATTAACAACTTTCTCGAAGGATAGTCCGAAAATAATTGGGGCAGCGGTATGGAAATAATTAGATCAGTCAGTTTTGTTGGTGACACGACAAAATCTCCCCGGAAAAAATCTCCCCGCGACAAAATCTCCCCACTACACAAAATTTATAATAAAAATAAAAAGTTTGGAAAATCAAAAAGTGCACGACTTATAATGCTCACTTAATTATGAAATATTAAAAAAAAAAAAAAAAAAAAAAAAAATCATAAGCTGTTCAAAAACGATTATCCGCGTTTGTGTTGGTCTAATGTCGAATATACACACATAAAAATTATGTTAAAAGGGTGCAACACGGTCACAAGAAAAGGTAATAAAATAATCATAAAATATTTAAATTATAACAAATTTTTAAAATTAGTTAAGAGAGATTTTCTTAGTGAGATTTTGTTGTTGGGAGATTATGTCGGGGAGATTTTGTCGTGGGGAGATTTTGTCGGGGAGATTTTGTCCGGGGAGATTTCGTGGTACAACCGTTTTGTTGACAAGTTCATAATTGGTGTATCCCAGTAATCGATTTTATCGCTTTCAGCATATTACTAAATTTATATATTCAAAAGAACGAAAAATTATGAATTTATAATTATAAATTTATTTAAAAATTGTAAATTAAATTTACCTTGCAGTTCACAATCTCGACTAATTAAATTGACCTATTGTTGAATATAAATATAAATATCTCGGAGCGTGCTACGGATAAATTCAAACGAGTGTTTTATTCTCGTCAACGATATGCTTCACTTGATAGCATATGCCATTATTCTCTCCCTTACCTCCATCTAACATCTATCTATAAATATATAGACATATATAATACGATCGTTACACTTCCGTGCAGGGCGTCCCATTATAACCGGGGCACAATAGATACCTTGGCGCCACTCGTCTTCATATCGTCTGTATCCGTTTCCGCTTTTACTTTTATCCACATCATTTTATTCTGAACAGATAGATCATAGATCGTGGATCATAAAACGTAGATCATACATCTGTGATCTGATCCTTGCTATATATTTCGAGTAATCCTGTATCATTTTTAACCCATGATAAATTTTAGAAATAGAATACCAAGTACAATATCAATTCGGTTATCGTAATCGTATTATTAAATATGTCTTGTGAATATTCGGATTTACCAAGAGCGAAAGTTTCTTTTTTATTTATTCTCCGACAGAAGGCAAGAATAATCAATCATTTATTAAATATACAATATATTAATTAGTAGTAAACATTTTTTAATTGTTTAATAAATATTTATTTGGACTCTTGACTGAAAATTGAGTGGAAAAATTTTTTTCATGCCTTTAATTTAGAATATTTTATTAAATAAATTAATAATTTAATATTTTTTCCCAAAAAATATTTTTTAAATCAGTGTACTATTAATGTCGTTCATCTTACGAATCCTATTGAAATTTCAAGATATAAATTTAATTTCAAATTAGTTATTAAGTTTACGAAAATAGACACTGACAAGAGATACAGAAATTAAATTATAAAAAGTATTGTAAATTATTCAAAGACATATCCGACGACTTTAAGGAGGTCCTTTCGCCGCCAATGTAAAATAAAAAATATTAGATTATAAGTAAATTAAATTTTTTTCTAATAGTTAAGGTCTTTATTTATCTAATAGTGAGGTTTAGATTATACTTTACCGGACAAATTTTTGAAAAAATAAAATTTTTAAATGCTAGTATTTGTTCAGAGTCTTACGAGAAAGTCAGACGTTTGCAGTATTTCTCGAATTATACTATCAGTCATGGATTAGACGAAGTAAAAAAAAAACTAAAAATTAGATTTTCGAAATATTCAGGTTTCTTTTTTTGCAATAAAATATATCAGTTACCGAGATATTTATTGAGAAATTAATATTTAAAAATCACAAAAAATTCTCAAGTAACCTACATTAAAATGGAATCAAAACATTTGGCAACATTGCGTAGCGCGCGAGCTTCAGACCATTCAATAAATTAAAACTAATTCATTTATTTACACTGACTGCAAAAACTTAAACGTATTTAAGGTTATAATGTGCAAATGAAAATGTAAACAACCGAAGGACAGCGTTGCCAAATCACGGACAGGTTACTAGCAATTGATTTGAAAGAGTCAAATTAATTTTTATTTTCAAAATTTCAACGATTAATACCTCATATACTATTTATTATTTAATTTTAGGAATTTTTATGGATTTTTTATTTTAATTTATCGTATATTGACTACTAAAATTGTTTTGACTCAACTGGAGCGAAAGGATTTCCTTAAAAAATCTATAATAAAACAATGCAAGGTATATTTATTTAAGTGTGTCTAAATATTAATTTTTTGGTAGATAAAGTCAGCCCTACTCAGAACTTAATAAACCTGAACGCAGCCTATAAGTCACTCACTTAAACTGAGTATTGCGATAATACTTAAACTTTTTTATATCATATTCGCAATACCAATTCATTAAAAAAGAGTATATCCATAGGACTTAAACTTTTTTTTCAGTGCAATTTTATTTATTTTTTTTTTTGTATTTCATTAGGAGTTTCTCTGCTATGCGCAAGATTTTTTTTATATTGTTGTATCAATAACATCTGATCAAATGATACTTTTGATGCTAGCTGTTCATTAAATTTGTTTGAAAAATTTGCCTTTTCATTAACGCTAATTTGATTTAATTTTGACTTTTGACTTCCGGAATAATTTACTTCTTTCCAACAGTGAGCTACTTTTTTAGTCCAACTCTAATAACTTAAACAGAGTAAATCTCGAATTCCGTGAATGAGCGTGATTGCAAAATAAGACGAGCTTAAATTATCACGGAAAAAAGTGCATTAAATTAGGGGAGTGATAATAACACCGGAATAAAAATTTAATATAGTACTTAATGCATTTAGTTTATCTACCTAGTCTTTTCTGCCCGTAGATAATGTTCGTCCTCGCCCTTTTCTTCAGATTAAGTTGATGTGAAAGAAGAGAAAATGTAGCGCCGATTTTCTTGGCAACGATCGGGCTAACTTTGCGAAAATTGAATAGATACGGGAACCTAGCACTCCTGGTTATAACCGTGCCAACTTTTCACAGTCATTGTGAAGGGTCACCAAAACGGAGCCTAAGATCTTCAAATAAGAGCATCGTCGTTTGTTATTTTATTATTATTATTATTATTATTATTATTATTATTATCATTATTATTATTATTACAAGGGACAAGTTTTCGACATTTATTAAACTTTATTTTTCACCTTTACGTACGATATTGGCTACACACCATTCGAAAAACCGCTTTCATTACCATAAAATCACATATATTTTAAACCCACGGATAAAGCTTCGACAGAGGGCAGTAACTTGCCTTGGAATAATTGTCATTTGAACTTTTGCTGAGAAGAAACAATAAACTTTAATCAGAATCTTTGAGAAGTTTATTTGAGGAATTTTAGATCGTTACTTATTAATTTAATCAGAAACTTTCAATGTAATTATTAATGGAATACTTAGCGATAAAGTAAACACGCCGGATAAATCCATAAAATTGATCTAATAATAAATGTATTAACCAGCGTTATTTATTGATAACATTTGTAAAGAATGTTATATTTATCTGTTAGAAATAGAAAGCCACTGTTGAATTCATTTCTATATTGTAGATAATCTATTTTGATTTAAAACTTGTATTGGAAATTAATAATTGAAGTATTTTAAAAAAACATGAGAAATTTTAGTCGAGATTCTGAAATAGCTCGGACTTAAATTTTTAATTTTATTTTAGTCAAAATTTATTACTCAACATTTTGAATAGTTTAAAACAAAATAAATATATTAATAAAAAAATGTCACGAAAAAAATAAACAATCAAAAATGAATGAGTTATAGAATATTTAATGGTGTAAATTATTAATATGTAATATTCCAAATGAAACGCATTAAGTCCGAAAAATATTTATAAACTGTTACTGAATTTAGCTCCCCTAAAAATATTTATTAGAAGCCAAAAAAATATCTTACATTAAATGAATAAATTTTTCAACAATTGTAAATTCTTCTGCCAGTGCAATTTTTATAGTAAAAATTATTTTTATCATAATCAAACCAATTTGTCGTATCGATCTATCGTTGACTTACTGACATATACATTTATGATTACACGATTGTGTTTCACTAATATATAAGATCAAATAGATTGAATTGCTCATTCCCCATGAAATTGATTCCTTGGGCAATCTAAGTAATGCGATTGTAAATTAATGAAAGAACGATTATGTTCATAAATACACATAAGCACACAAATAATTCTACAAGGAAATCCATAGAACATTAGCGACAAAACATGAGTTTAATATTTTTATTCCTCCTCACATCCAGTAGCGACACAATTTAACAATTAATCAAAATTAATAGTACAATCTAATTTATGTAATTAATGACAGCCCGGAAAAGGGTCGACTCTGTTCTTTCTCAGCAAGAACTGGATCTTCCTGTTCATGTCCTCGTCGTAGATAGACTTGCAGCGTTCGTAATTGACGCGGCGTCTCACTTGTGTCGGCTTCTCATAGTACCTGGTTCTTCTCCACTGGTCCAGGAAACCTTCGTTGCCGAGGATCTTATTCAGGATTCGGAATGAGCCTTCTATGTTGTTGTCCTTCACAAGAACTGTTCTCGAGAAAAAGGATGCGTGTCTCATCTGTTAAAAAAATATTTACAATTTTCTATTTTAATAATAATAAATGTCACAATAAAATATATTATTAATATAATTATTTCATACTTACCTTGGTTGATTTTATTCTTTGCTGCCGAACGAATAATAAACAAACTTTCAGGTTATGGAGAAATTCAATAGAGGCTTTCTATTTTGCACTGGAGCGTCATCTCTTGATTCGTAGAATTTCTAGATCATTTTTCTTGGAAAATTCTACTTTATCATTTATAGAGATTTGACTGTCGGTAAAAAACATTTTGATTTCGTCTTCTACATTGTCGACAGTTAAAATGACGTTTCATGGTACCGCTTACTATTCACCAAATTTATTGAAAATTTTGTAACCTTTAAGCGCTTTTGTCTCATCGTTATAAATAGATCTAATTAAATAAAAATTTCTACTGATCTAATTGCCGAAAAGTTTTATCCTTTTTTCATTTATAACTATCATTAATAATTTATCGTCATATAATGTTATCGGGTCATCGAAATTAATTAAAACTATTCAATATAAATATTTATCTTCTAACTTGTTAACATTGCTGACGTTGTCGACAAGATCGCTGTTCTAATAATTAATAATAAATTATTTCTCTTGCTGAAATGTATTAATAATAAATATTTATTATATATTCAAAAAGGATAAAATTTCATTCGTATCTCATCCATTTTTCAGTAGAATTTTACGATAGAGAGGCTTATGCATTAATGCAACGCATTTTCGGATTAGTTGTTATTTAATTTTTAAATATTATATACCTGAAAACATAAATCAAACTTTCGTACAACAAGCTAAAAATATTTTTTATTATTTGTCAAGCTGCCGAGAAATTTAAAACATACGTATTAAAAGTTTGTGTCTTAACTCTATAAATAAAATATATTGTGTTTGGAATAAGTATTGGAAAATCTTGAACCAGCTATTTATTTACACAAAGTTTATAAGAATCACAATAGATAATAGAAAAAATTTTATATCTCCAAGTTTCACAAGTATTTTAATTTAGATCGAACCTCCGAATTTTGCTAACTCTTGACAATCAGAGTCTAACAAAAGCAAGATGTCAAAGCTAATTTCAGATACTTGAGCAAATCAACCATCTCCTCCCTCGAGATAACAGTCTAATTCCCGTCGTCGTGATACAAATTAAGCTTCTCAGTACTAACCTCGCATTAATGAACTTCAAATGATCTTAATTGACAATTGAATCCAGATTTAAATCCTCAATTTCGCTCAGAAAAAAGTTTAATTAATTTTTCAACTAAAAAAGCTCTTTTTTTTTTTTAATTCAAGAATTTTTATTTAAATTTTGAATCAAAAAGTAATTTTTTTTAATCAGATAACTTTTGATTGTTCCCTCGCCTGGGACTCGATCAAAATTCATCCTTTTAATTATAAAAAATTTGCAATTCCCTCACGGAAAAAAGAAAACTCGAAAAATTAAAGTATATAATCCAACGTAGCGCTTGGTGATGAAAACTTCAAAAATTATAGTTTCAGATTGTAATTATTCAAGATTTTATAAGAATTAAATTGTATAATGTAATATTTACATTAAAAGCTCTGAAAATTGAATTTTGAAAAATGTTATTTAAAACTGTAAATTTTCTAGTTTTGATTACAACGGGACCAATTTTACATTTTATACTGTAATTATTCGTGTTTTATTTTTTTCATGCTTGTCATGTTTTTGAGAAACCTCAAAAATTGGTAAAAAGTTATCCGTAACAATCGAAAACTGGAAACCCATTAACCCATCAGCCTGGAGGGCGTCGTGAAAATTATCTGCGCTTGTCAAGCTCCCGAGAAGCTACGGACCGGCACGAGCTTGCGCAAAGCTCTCTCACACAATAAAAGTTTTATCCTCGTCCTGGGTACGCCGCTCCGACACACATATAACCGCGTACTCGTGTCCGAGCAATCGAGTAGAGTTCTACGGATGTAAACATTTAAAATAAATCTAGTAGTAGGTAGAAAAATTACAACAACAAATCTCAACATGCCGGCCTGATCATGTAATTTATTATCATCCACTTTGAGATAATAACTATTTATTACAAATTCATTAAGTAGTTGTAATAGTTGTAGGTAATAATATTAATTAATAATAAATGTAATTAATTAATTATAATAATAACAATAATAGTAACCAGTGATAGCAGTGTTTTTATATACCAATATATAAAATAAAAGATAATATTTAAAAACGATTACGGGTACGTGAGATCGATAAAAGCAGTTTGACGCAACGGGAAAATCCATGGCTTGAAAGAGCCAGCCAAGTAGAACGCGATTGACATCCACAAAGCCGTCGAAGAATAACTTTTTTTTACTTAAAGGGTTTCTATCCAGCCAGGTAATATCAATATATATGTATACATAGTCTTCATACAATCCTTTTTTATAATTTCCTGATATTATTAACAAATTATTAACGATGATGATTCGAAAGTAATAAACCCGACGAAAAAATTATGTATTGATTTCTTTTCATAATTTATTTTATTTTATTTTCACCCCCTGATAATTAGCAAAGCTTCCGGGGCTGGTGAACAAGGGCGCGACCTGTTAATATATCATTGTTTTGAAAATGTAAACACCGAGACGTAGACGGTCAATGACTGACTTAGTTTTGTTGGATTTAATTGTATTATATTATATTAGGACTTGCTATCTCCTCTAAGAGTCCTTGGAAGTTGCGGCGTAGATATTTAGCGGGTACCCGGTATACGACCGACAATGTAAATAAAAGTGAGTGTGTTAATGCACGGACGTCTATATGTATAAAGTATGCGTGTGTATTAATAAATGATTTACCATTACCATTATCGCGAGTATGTAGGATGTTGAGAGTAAAGAAATAAGGGAATAATAACTGTGCCATGGTAACATATAAACTATTATTAGCAAATATGTCAGATTATAACACTTTGTCGTGTGCTTAATGGTATTTATTACATTAGGGCTCTTTAATATTCAATTTATTCATAATAGTAATTATAATAATAATAATAGCAATATTGTTTTAAAAATTTATTATTCTCTTTAAAATGAATATTAACATGATAGATTTATTTTTGTTAATTTTTAAAATTCACATATGTGGAAAATTTACACATCTAATTAGCAATTGATTTTGAATTAATTGTTTTTTCGCACAAATGGAAGATTTTCTAAAATGGAGTTAGACAATTTACTAATTAGAACATCGACATATGTTTAAAAAGTACTTGTGGGTACTCAATTCAAAAAGAATTTTATTAATATTTTTTATTACGAATAATTTGACATTTTTAATAATTATAGTGATGATAATAATGATAATAATCACGCAAGTGGGAGTAAACCGAAATAAAACCACTTTTGGTTATTTAATATTGATTGTAGATATAAGTGCTCTGCTATTAAGTGCAATAGTAAATTTAACATTCACTTCAATATCGAAATTCTAAATTCGGTTAAGTACCCAAGTTCAGGATTATTTTATTACGGAAAATATTTTATTTTAATTAAAGTTGTGTCAATTGAAAAGAGGTCGAGTGTTTTTCTCTTTTAGAAAAAAATACGATGAGCTTTGAATATTTTTTTTAAGCAACTTAGCTTAATTAAATATAAATTGCTGGATTTAAATTGGAATTTTTGATTTCTATCAAACATGAAGAATTTTTTAAATAAAATAGTCTGAAAATCTGAGCAGAATATTCATGAACATAAATATGTAACACATTTGAAGTGTAAAAGTGAAACATTTATTGTGAAATTTTTAGAATATAAAACAGAATAAAAAACTCTGGGTGAGTGATCCAGTGAATAACAATGACCGAGAATATCTGAATATATATCCTACCCGCCAGTTAACATAATTAAGCTTCAACAGAGTCCATTACTTAGTCATAACATTCGGATCAGGCGTAAAAAGATTAAGATACAAGCATTCATCACTGGGGCTTAGGGCTTAGCTGCCCTATTTTTAATTCCATTATCTCTGAGCTTTACCCTAAATTTTGAGCTCCGTTCATGGATTGATAGCAAGAAAAAAAAATTTGATGAAATTACGGTCGACAAAAACTACACTGATAAATTTACCTTTCCTTATCTTGGGTTGAATTATTCTTAAAATTGTGTTAGTGTGATATGTAACATAAGTTTTTAAACACAAAAAAAAAATTATTTTTTTAATAAAAATTAAATTCTGTTTCTCGTGAGTTTTTTAAAAAACTTCTTGAATATTTAAATATAGCGCATTTCTTTACCGTAAAAAACTGCAAGGTGATTTCGACCCTTCAAGCTATTGATTTCCTCAACGACTTTATGCTAAACGCTTTTTTGAAATTATTCTTAGTAAGACAGTAGGTCAACCGTAATTCACAAGATTTATTTTCCCCATATGGAAATAAAAATAAAAAACAAGTTTAGTCACTGACCTCTCATTAATCAGACAAAGTACCGGCATTACAGTATATTAACAAACGTTTCCAACCCGCATGATAGTGGTCAGTGATAAATGACTAATTCTGTCATCATTATATTATGTAGTACAAGTTTAGGAGAAATTCAAGCTATTGTTTTTTTAATTACTCACAGATTGGCAAACGTCCAACATTTCTTCTATTGTTACTCTCAACTCCTGGACGGAACTGTTATTTATTTCCGGGATGCTCGAGAATCCAGGGATATATTACCGATAAAACTTACGACACTTTTTTTGATAAACCAACGCAGAGGTTGTAACTCTAACTCTGTTTTGAAAAACGAATTATTTGAGATTGAAAATTTATTTTTAAAAGTTTTAAATAAACTCAGCTCAGTAGAACTAATCAGGCCAGATATTGCGCCATATGGTTAGATACCAACGTGTTTACTATGAAAAATAACGTGTGAGGTGTAGCGAAATTTACTAGTATCATATTTATAAAGTTCAATATTCGGTCACTCGTTTTATTTTAATTTGAATATAGTGCAGTAAATCAATCAACTCATG